CTGCGAGCAAAAGAGAGGGGGTGCGACATCGCGAGCGGGTTAAGTGCTGTTAGCGAGCACCTATTAAGGGCCGATACTAACAGCAGGGTAATTGGAGAATGCAGCACGATGACAAAGGTCCCCCGTGTAGCCTTCAGAGGCTGTCGGGGCAAGTGCTCGTTAGCAAACGCACCTATTAATATTCGTAGGTTTGTTTCGGTAAAGTCAAGTATGTAAAAAAATGTAAAATTAAACGTCGTGATTTTTATTTTATTTTTATTTTACTTTCATTCATTTAAAAACAAAAATTTTACCTACATGACTTTACCGAAAAAACCTAAGAATATTAATCCTTGCAGTCACGAAAGCTTCAAATCTAGAATTAGCACCTATTAAGGCGGATACTAGAGCAGAGAAACTGGGACTTGCACCCCGTGTAGCCTACAAAGGCTGTCGCATCCACGCCTCCTGTATACCAGGCGAGGTAGTCAACATCTCGCCAGAGGCACGACCCTGTAATTGCTGCCGGCAGGAAAAGGGGCATCCAATCGAGCGAACTGTATTTGGCCTTCTCTTCCACGTCGGCCGGGTTCTGTTTGGCGCAACGTGGTCTGCCGATCGTAGAGCAAAACTGCCCGGGGCGGGACCCTTTTAACGCACTGCCGCCGGGAGTGCGATAGAGGTGGCGGGGGTGGGTGGGTGGGTGGGTGGTGAGGGTGGGTGGGTGGTGAGGGGGGGATCTTCTTTTACATTAATTTTTTTATTGGCGGCAGTGTGCGAGGCCCCGTTACATCACCACGTTGTGACGCACATACACACACACACGCACACATACACAAAGACAGAGATCCCCCATATAGCCTGAACAAACTGTTGGGGCAAGTGCTGTTAGCGAGCACCTATGAAGGCCAGCATGGCACACGAAGAAGTGGGTGGCCAACACCACGCCCGGCCGCCTTTGTCTCCCTAGTAGCAATACTTACACTCCGCACAAGGTACTTATTTGAGGCCGTGTCGACCTAGGGGAGGCCCAGGACCGGTTCAGAAAATCGTCACCGGTGTTGACCGTGAGCGGGAATCGAACTCGGGTCGCCGGGTTGGTAGCGCAGCGCGCTAACAGCAACACTCCCGCTCCCCGCGTAAACGCACACACATACAACACACACCGTCAACATAGGCCAAACCATGAAAAATAAGAATGGGCGTTTATTCTTTCTGCAATAAAACAGGGGATGTTCAAACACCAAATCGATTCCTTTTGCGAGGAATCAAGTCTGCATTGACCACACATGGCACCTGCGGTTTGCATGCAAGCAAAACATTGTCTGATAATGTGTGCGTTGTCTTTTAAGCAGCGGGGAGATATAGAGAGATGGGGAAACAGGCTCGTGCCGCCCCCCAAACCATATTGGAGGGGGGGGGGTGGTAAGGGCAACCCGAAACACGGCTGGCACAAAGAAAAGAAAAAGTCATATTTAAAAAAAACTTTTTTTTTTTTAAACACGCTTTCATGAAATGTACTAGTAATGTAAGAACTCCACGACTCCAGGAAGTGGCCCCGAAGATTGCCACAATTACAGCCAACGTCAGTTGAGCGTGGACAATTAGACCCAAGCCGAAACATAACATATCAAAAAGAATGTTTGAAAATATATATTTTTTATAGAATATATATTGTCATCAGTATGACATAAGTATACCAAGTTTGCAGTCGATAACACATTGGGAAGTGGGTAAAAATTGAGTTACAAGATTTTAGAATACGACAACACAGAGTAAGTTAAATAAAAGCGTGTAAAATGTTTAAAAAATGTATGTTTTGGATTTTTTATGATAGAATATAGTCTTGTCATCAGTATGACATAGGTATTTCAAGTTTGCAGTCGATACCAGATTGGGAAGTGAGTAAAAATTGAGTTGCAAGATTTGAGAATACAACAACGACAACAACAACAGACAGAGCGAGTTAAATGAAAGCGTGTAAAATAGGTTAGTTTAAGTTTAACTCTCCAGTTGAAACAACGGTCACACTTTTCTTAAATCTCCACTACCACCTCCTCCTCTGTCCTCCAAACAGCGTCAATAAGTTAGCCACAGTTAGAGATCACAATCAGAATATTTATTTATACTGCAGGAGGTGACCTAAACGAGCATTTTTTGGTATTTTTAAATCCTTTATATTAAGTTCGCTTGCTTGCTTGCTTAGGACCGTGCAAATCTTTCGGTCGTTTTTTAACCCACTTCCCGTGATCCAATCGAGCTGACATTTTGCACACAGACTCGTTGTGCGTGACAATTAATGTTCGTGAAAATTTTTCCAAAATTTTAGACTGTTTAGGGAAATTTTTAAAAAATATTTAATTACCAATTGTTTAATGCTGCCAGACAATCATCTGACCCATAGGTGGCAGCCATCTCAAGCCAGAGGACAAGAGGACTCTAGCCGCCCCGATGCCACGCATATAAAGGATTTATAGTGAAAAACTTTGTTTTTACGGGTTTACTTGTTACCCTTCCGGCTCCAGTCGAATCTGCAGTGGCTGTACCCCCCCTTGTGTCCTCTCTCGAGTCCCCGTTTCCCGGTGAGGGGGATTTAAAAAAAACCAGCTGGCTCTATTAAATCTTCACTTAAAGCTTTCGTGACCGCATTAATTCGTATTCTTTGGGTCTTTCGGTAAAGTCACGTAGAACAACAACATTTTCGTTACAAAAAACTACGACGTTTCGATCGCAACACACGCAAGCGTCATCAGGAGGAAAAAAATAAGGGATGACGATTGCTTGTATTGCGATCGAAACGTCGTATTTTTTTTTTTGTGTTCTACGCGACTTTACCGAAAGACCCAAACAATATAGCTGCTCCGTTGTTTCAACTGCCAGTGGCCGGAGATGGGAGTCTAACCGGTAAACCCTCTGGGTTGCGAGGTCGTTGCGGTACCAAAAAAAACGCGTTACGGCGCCCCTTCTATTAACAGATCACCGCCGTGTGAATTTGTCGCTCGTAAAATAATGCTAGCCTAGACACACACACACACAAGATGTTACGAACGTAAATTTTAAAAAAATTGGGTCTCCGAATTAAAGACGGCTTCCGCCCTCTATAAAACGTTGAAAGGTTAAAGCTACAAATTGTCAGGGTCGCCGCACCGTAAATACGCCACCACGCTGCGTTTGAGCTGGGGACCGGCGGGGGTCGTGATTTAAGGTCGTTGATCTCGGGTGTGGGCAAGCAGAGGGGCTGACCATACTTCACCGCGCTGGTCAGCGTGGGTTGGTGTAGCAGGCACATTTCATCTCGCCTGTCGCCAAGTACTTGACTGGCAATACAGCTACTTGGGTCTACAGCATGAGAATAATAACTATTACCAGTTCCTCCAGAAAAACGCGGAGTTTTCTGGTGATTGTTGCGGGCAAAAATCGTTGATTATGCGGCACGTTTTCTTAAAAAATGCGATGGAATATGCAATTTTATGCGATTAATTTGCGGGAACTTGCAAAAACTGCGGTTTGATGAAAAAGAGAAAAAAAAGTGATTCCCCCAACACCCTATTCACTAGGCTACTACTTTAATGTAAAGAGTCATTTCTTATTACTTCCTATGATAAGCAAGCATACTACATCACAGAAAGTGCTGGGAATATTTAAGTTCTCATCTTGTTTTATTTCAGACCTTAACAAACAGATGGCTCAAACTTACAAAACATTGAGTCGAACAAGTTCTGTAGCTTTACAAAATGAATATGCTACAACTTCTGTAAAAATGAATAAATAAAATATTAAAAAATAAAATGTGTGCTTCCTGTTTTACAGAGGTAGCTATACAAAACAGACATCTTCTGTTAAAATAAGTGTTTTCAGTGCACAGTAACGTAAGCAATACAGTAACAGTACAGTCTTACAGTAATGTAAATTTACATACTACTAACAAAAAAGTGCAATCTTACAACTGTAAAGTTGCATAAACTCCTGAATAAAACTAACTACGTAGCCTCTAACACTTCATAACGTTCCCATGGCAACAGGGGAAATGGCTGCGCTTGTGTGAAGTAAACGCAACATTTTTCAACTTTCTGCTAAGCTATATGTGACTTTTTGCAACGAAAATGCGGGGATTATGAAATCATGCAAGCCCGCATATTTTGCGCGCGGAAATCTGCAATTTATGCGGCAAAAGTGCGGCGTATTTGAAAAAACGCGCCCCCCCCGCATAAATATGCGGACTTTGGCTGATTTTGCGTGGAATCTTGCGATCGCATAATCGCGTTTTTCTGGAGGGACTGTATTACTACAATTATCATAATTGTTTATAATTATTCTAATAGTACCGGAGTGGCGGCCCAATAATGGAGTGTACCAGGGGACATCCACCGAGGAGACGGAGCGATGAAATCAGCTGTGGTGCAGGTGCCGGATCGATTGCTGCGTTGCAGGATCGTTGGGGTGGCAGTGGCCTGGTAGGCCCTCATCCAGCAGTGGATTGACCAACAATGAACGAATCTACAAGCGGTAGATCACCCACCACCCCCACCAACCCTACCACCCATCCATCCATATTTCTACCCATCCACGTCTCCACCACCCATCCATGCCCCCACACCACCCATCCACCCACCGTTAAACATGAAAAATTGATGTGCTGGGGCAATGGTGATCGCACTGCGCTATGAAACCAGTGACCCCACTTTGCTTCCCGGCCACCTCTCACAGCGTCGGTGAGTGATGTCGCAGCCACCGGTCCCTCACTGCCCTACCCTTCACCAACTACACACTGACCAGAGTGGTGAAGTATGCCCCCCCCCGCCCCGTGACCGCCAGGGCGTCGGGCGTCCTTCACGTAAGCTTGACACAAGCATTGTAACTGCACAGCAATTCCCCTGTTCAACGCGCGAGCAGTAGGTGACATACCCGTCAACCCCTTTGTATTGACAGGTGTGTTACTATACACTACACTACTATATGCTACACATTACACTACACTACACACTACACTACTATACACGACACTACTATACACGACACTA